CATGCCTGGCTGATTTTTTTGATTTATTGTAGAGATGAGGTCTCGCTGCCCAGGCGGGTCTCGAACCCGTGGGCTCAGGCAATCCACTCACCTCAGCCTCCCAAAGGCGCGGGATTACAGGCTGAGCCACCGAGCCCAGCTCTAATATTTTTTTTTTTATAAAGATGAGGTTTCACTATCTTGCCCAGGCTGGTCTTGAACTCCTGGGCTCAAGCGATCCTCCTGCTTTGGCCTCCCAAATTGTCGGGATTACAGGCGTGAGCCACTGCATCCGGCTCTTTCATTTCTTTAATAGCTTTATTGAGATAAGACTCGTAGATCATACATTTCACTCTTCTAAAGTATGAAGTCCAGTGGTTTTTGCGATACTCACAGTGTGATGAGACTGTCACCACTCTCTAATTCCAGAACATTTTCACCACCCCCAAAAGAAGCCCACACCAGCAGCAGCCACTCTCTATTCCCCTCCATTAGCCCCTGGCAGCCACTCGTCTTTTCCTTTCTGTCTCTGTGGACTCGCCTGTTCTGGACATTTCACAGAAATGGAATTGTACAAGCTAGGCATGGCAGCACGCACCTGTAGTCCCGGCTACTCAGGAAGCTGTGGCCGGAGGATTGCTTGAACCCAGGAGGCCCAGGCTGCAGAGTCATGGTTGCACCACTGCACTCTGGTGTGGGTGAAAGAGCAAGACCCTGTCTTTCAGAAAAGGAAACCATGACTGGCTCATTCCGCCGACCTGACAGTGTACCCAGGCCCACCCCTGTGTGGCTTCTTTCCTTTTTAGGGCTAAGTAATATTCCACTGCATGGCAGGACCACAGTGTGTGCATCCGTCATCCTGTTTCTTTGACGTGAGAGTCACACTCAGAATTGTGTACCCTCTTGGGAGCTGGTTCTGAGGTGTGTTTGGACCCTGTTCTGTAGGAATTTGAACACTTGCCATCCATGACGCACAGTATGCAATATAATTTGTACAAGCCTGGACAGCATAGTGAGGCCTCATCTTTATCAAAACATTTTTAAAAATATGAGCCATGTGTGGTGGTGTGCACCTGTCATTCCAGCTACTCAGGAGGCTGAGGAGAATGGATCACCTGAGGCTAAGAGGTTAAAGTTGTGATGAGCCGTGATCGTGGTACTGCACTCCAGCCTGGGCGACAGAGTGAGATCCTAATTTTAAAAAGAAAGTGGAATGAAGCATTGACACCTGCTAGAATATGAATGAACCTGGAAAACATGACACCCCAGGTGGGGGTGGTGGGTCCACTTGCAACCCAGACCAAAAACCATGAGTGCCCCCAAAGTGATTGAAATAAAGAAAAAAAGAAGCATCACCCTCAGCGAAAGAAGCCCAACCCAAAAAGCCACTCTCTGTGTGGGTCCATCCATTTGAAATGTGCAGAGCAGGGAAATCTCCTAGAGACAAGTAGCAGGTTGGTGGCTGCTGGAGCTGGAGCAGGGACATGGTGATGCCTGGGACTGGGTGTGGGGTTCCTTTAGGGGCTGCTGGACGTGTGTGTCTTGGAACTAGAGGGGCGTGATGGTGAATGCACGGAACGCCACTGCACTGCGCACTTTCAAGCGACTCGCCCTGAGTTCTATGAAATTATAGCTCAGTAACAAACATGCTCTATCCGGCCCCGCCCCCAGATCAGCCCCTTCATCAATGAGAACACGCGGCAGAAGTTCCTCATCTACAGCGGGTCCAACTACCAGGGCCCCGGAGGCCTCGTGGACTACCTGGATAAAGAAGTGATCCCTGACTTCCTCGGGGGAGAGAGCGTGGTAAGGCCCCAGCCAGGCTGGGCTCCAGGAGGGGTGGACATTGCCTGGGTGACCAGGATTCTTGGGGCGGGGCTGGGAGATGGAGGGAGGCGTGAAGCTCTGGGTGTGCCTGGGAGGGTGGGGGCATGCTGGCTCTAAGCAGGGACAGGGCTTGCGTTAGAAGTTGCCCCACAAAGTGGCTCATGCCTGTCATCCCAGCACTTTGGGAGGATGAGGTGGGAGGATCACTTGAACCCAGAAGTTCAAGACCGGCCTGGGCCACAGAGAGAGACCCTGTCTCTCAAATATTTAACAATTAGCCAGGTGTGGTGGCGTGCACCTGTAGTCCCAGCCACTCAGGAGGCTGAGGTGGGAGGATAGCTTGAGTCCAGGAATTTGAAGCTGCAGTCAATTGTGATCATACCACTGTACCCCAGCCTGGGTGACAGAGACAGAGAGAGAGAGAGAGAGAGAGAGAGAGAGAGAGAGAGAGAGAGAGAGAGAGAGAGAGAGAGAGAGAGAGAGAGAGAGAGAGAGAAGTAACATCTCTTTGAGGTGACACCTTGTCTTGCTTCCTCAAACATAGAAGTTTCCAGAAGCCCAGAAATCAAAGGCTTACCATCCTGTGTTTCCACCAGAGATGTTGCTGAGCTGTGTCCTCTTCTGCGGGGGCGGTGACTCAAATGTTTCCCCTGGGCCCCCATGGATCTGAGGGACTAATCCCCAACCTGCAGCCGGGTGGCCTGGCATGATCTGGCCACTGCTTCAAGGAGATGGCGTCCAGACCCCTTTGACTGCCTCCTCTGAGGAGGAAATGGGCAGGGGTGACCCTGGGTCACAACTCTGTCATCCCCTGTGGCCTCTGGCGGCAGGAGCCTTTCTGTTTCTGATAGAAACCAGAAAGTGAGCTTGTGTGACTTCCAGGAAACAGGCTCTTCCTAGGAGTTTCCCCAGGCCCGTCTGTCTCCACGTGGCATGCGTGGTTGATTTTTAGTGAATGGCCCGCAGATGCATGACTTCCTGCAGGACCCTGGGCTGTGCCCTCACTTCCTAACCCCAGTGCAGATGGAAGGAGGGAATGTCCCATTTGGCAGTGGCAGCGGATCTCGGGAGGCTGGGCCGGCCAGTATGCCTTTGGTCTGGGGACATCTGTATTTTAGGCCAGCTCAGTGTCTGCTCCGTCCCCACTGCTTGGGGAGGCGGCTGCCCTGGGGTCCGTCTGATGAGACCTTTGAGCCCGTCTGTTCATCATCACGGGACGGGACTGAGCCTGGGGGTCTGACAAATGTGGGCTTGTACCCTGATGCGGCCACTTTCTGCTGTGTGAGGTTGGGCACATGCCCTGATGTCTCTGAGCCTCCATTTCCTTCCTCCGTGGAAGGGGAGAATAGGAGTCCCTACAGCGCTGGTGGGTGTGGGGGTCGCAGGAGCCCGCGGCCCAGCTCAAAAAGAGGGAACGCTGCCAGACATTGCTGCGGGCTCACAGAGCACCCTTCCCGGGTCGGGCCATCCGGACCCTCTGGGCCTCGATGGCCCTGACCTGCCGCCCTCTGTCTCTGCCTGCAGTGCAACGTCCCCGAGGGAGGGCTGGTTCCCAAGTCCCTCTACCTGATGGAAGAGAAGCAGGAGCATGCAGATCAGCTGCGGAAGTGGAGCGAGACCTACCAGTCGGCCAGTGTGCTCCGCGGGGCCCCCCACGAGGTGCCAGGGCCTGGCCTGGGGGGCCTGCCGGTCGGGGCTGTCATCGTAGCTTGGGCTGCCCTGAAGCACAGGCTGAGACAAGGACTCTTGTGCTGGCGATTTGGGGGGCGCTCTCAGGAGGACCCCGTGGGAGGGGGGCCATTCCCGTAAGATGCGGCCCCCGGGGACACCCACACGCCTGCCGCCGTCGGGACCCCAGTGCCAGCCTTCCCTTCTCGGCTGGGCTGCTCAGATCCTGCTGTTTCCACGCAGGTCACCGTGGAGATTCTGGAGGGGGAGTCAGTCATCACCTGGGACTTTGACATCCTGCGAGGGGACGTGGTGTTCAGCCTGTACCACACCAGGCGGGTGCCCACGCTGGGCCCCCAGGAACCTGGGGCCAGAGCCAGCGGGCCGCTGATTGGTAGAGGCCGGGCCCTGGGCAAGGATTACAGTCGCGTGGAGGCACCCCTCGTGTGCCGGGAAGGAGAGAGCATCCAGGTGCGCGTTCCTCAGGTTACTTATTCACTCATCAAGCAGTGCTGAGAGTCCAGTGTATGCCAGGCTTCTGGGGATATGGCCAGGGACAAACTTGGATGTGGTCCCCAGACTCAGGGACCCTGCGAGACAGCAGGGGAGAAGGACACACGGTGCCTGGTGTAATATGTGGCGGCCAGTGCAACATCGAGAAAGTGCATGGTGCTGAGCAGAGAGGCGGCTCATGTGCTGGGAAGAGCACAGGGTCCGGAGCCTCAGTGTCCCCATCTGAGAAATGGGATCATGACAGGATCTCACTGTATTCGTGTCCCGGGGCTGCTGTAACAGGCTGCAACTGGGCAGCTTAAAACCACAGGAATGTATTGTCTCACGGTTCAGGAGGCTGTGGTCCAGAACCCAGGTGTGGCTGGGTTGCACCCGCTCCAGGCCCCAGGAACGCAGGCCCCGCCTTTCTCCTCGATTTTGGCAGTCCTGGACATTCTGATAGGCGTTCTCTGTCTCTCCTGTATCCTGTCACTCTCTCCTTCCCTTGTAGGGACACCAGTCCTGTTTAGTCCCCACCCCAAACCCCTACCTGCAAAGACCCGGTTTCCAAATGCAGTCCCGTTCTGAGGTTCCAGGAGACATGAGTTTTGGGGGACACTCTTCACCCACTAAGTTAGTTCATGCAGGAAGGAAGATCAGGGCGTCAGAGTGTGAGATCTGTGTTCACTGTGTGAATTGAAGTGGCTTCAGTGTGGAAGGGACCTTGAGGCGTGGCGGGGTCGGGCTGGTTCTGAGCGGAGATGATGTTCCAGGTGAAGGGAACAGCAGGAGCAAAGCTGGAGTGGCAGGGAGGGGCAGGGTGAGTGCTGGAAGGACAGGAAGTCAGTGTGGCTGGGAGGGGAGGTGCTAAGGTCCTGAGGTCAGCAGGCAGGCTTCTGATGCACTCTGTGGTTACATGACTGATGCAGCGGAAAAACTGGGGGTCTGGGAGCAGAACTTGGACATGACCTGAATATGAGCCCCACATGTTCCAGGACGCCAGTGCTGCAGGTGGAACCTTACTCCTGCCCCTCAAATACACACATGTGCACACACACACCTTCAGCTCCACAAGCCCTGGCAGACACTGCAGATCTTCTTGAAGGTTCTGAGGGGGAGAGAGTGGCAGACTGTCCTACCCGCCCCTCACCGGCCTTTGTCTCACTGAACAGCTCAACCCTTCCTCAAAGTGGCTCTTCTTATAACTAACTCCTCCCTCCCTTATCCTTCCTATTTTACTTATTTTGAAATTACTTCAATATTTCAAAATATTGTATAAGTGGGGTCTCTATGTTGCCCAGGCTGGTCTCGAATTACCGGTCTCAAGCGATCCTCCCTCCTCAGCCTCCCAAAGTGCTGGGATTACAGGCATGAGCCATTGCGCCTGGTCTTTTGTTTCACAAAATTTTTTTTTCAATTTATTATTATTATTATTTTGGTAGAGGCATGGTCTCCCTCTGTTGTCCAGGTTGGTCTTGAACTCCTGAGCTCAAGTGCTCCTCCTTCCTCAGCCTCCCCAAGTGCTAGGATTACCAGTCTGAGCCACCACGCCCAGTCTCCTTTCTCACTCTCCCTCAGCCCTCAGCAGGCTCTCTAACCACCTGCGAATTCCTCCCTCAATCCCTCTCAGAAGCCTGCCTGCTGGCCTCAGGACCTTAGCACCTCCCCTCCCAGCCACACTCACTTCCTGCCCTTCCCAGCACCCACCCTGCCCCCACACCTGTCTGCCCCCTCCCTGCTGCTCCAAACCCCACCCTGCGTGAACTCCAGGAGTCTAACCTCCTCTGTTGTCCTGCAGCTGCACCCCCAGGCCTCGCCGCCCCCCAAATTCAGAGGGAAGCTCTGATCCCAGGGGCTTGGGAGTAACAGCAAGGACAGGTTGGCCCTGGAGGGAGGCCCTTGATGGAGGGCTTGCGGGCGGGCTGGCAGGAGAGACAGAAGAGCCATTTCCAGGCCTAGGGCAGGACGTCGTGCAGGTCCAGCTCCCCATCCTATCCTGGGAGGATCCAGGGCCTCAAGTGCGGCTGCTGTGTTTCAGGGTTCCCACGTGACCCGGTGGCCTGGAGTCTACCTGCTGCAGTGGCAGGTGCACAGCCCCCCGGGCGGCGTGGCCTGTAGCCTCACGGGCGTGGATGATGTCCTGATGGCTCTGCACAGTCCTGGCCCCAGGTGCAAACTCCTCTACTACTGTGAGGTGCTGGCATCCGAGGATTTCAGGTAGGGGGTGCTGGACAGGGGCCTGAGCAAGGGGGCCTGGGGCGCCCCTTGGCTCAGGCTACCAGGGCTGTGGGGTGTTCCTTCCGGAGAGTGGGCTTAGGGGTTTGTTGACCGTGTGGGTGCCCGGGCTCCTGCCTCCCAGTTGTGTCAGCTTACCCGGGGTGGCCCGGCATGGTGGAACTCGCCAGGGATGCAGACGAGCGCCTGAGCAAGAGAGGGAGGCTCAGCCTCCACCCATTGCCAGAGCCTTCTTGTGACCCTGGGGAGAAGCCCACAGTAGCAGACCACCCAGGGCAGGGGAGGAGAAGGGGGGCCTGAGGCCTTCACATGTGGACCTTCCCTCATTCTTAGAATTCCGCAGGGTCTAGAACTGTTCTAGAATATTCTAGAATAGTGCCTCACAGACAATGCTCCCCAAGTTGCTGCCTTTTTTTTTTTTTTTGAATCAGAATCTCACTCTGTTGCCCAGGCTGGAGTGCAGTGGCATGCTCATGGCCACCTCAGCCTCAACCTGTTGGGCTCTGGCGTTCCTTCTGCCTCAGCCTTTCAAGTAGCTGGAACTACTGGCATAAGGCATCATGCCTGGCTAATTTTTCTTGATTCATTGTAGAGATGAGGTCTTGCCAAGTTGCCCAGGCTGGTCTCAAATTCGTGGACTTAGGCAATCCTCTCACCTCGACCTTCCAAAATGCTGGGATTACAGGCTGAGCCACCGCACCCGGTCCAAGTTGCTGTTTTCACAGAGCCAGGGCAGTGTACTGGTTAAGGCCTCCAGCACTTCCTGGTTGCTGTGTGACCTTGGGCAAGTCACTTTGCCTCTCTGAGCCTTGGGTGCCCCATCGGTTAAATGGGAACCTCTGGAGCACCTGCCTCCTAGGCTTATCATGAGGATGAAATTGTTGTGGGGAGCCCGCCTGTCACCTGGGCATACAGTAGACACTTGATAGTGGAAATGGAGGGTCTGGAGGCGGAGCAGGTGCTTTCTTCAAGGCCTTGCATTTTACCTTTTAAAAATGCACGTTATTTTGCATCCTGCTTCATGACAGATCTGCGGTAGTTTTCATCTAAAATAATGCTTTAAATTCTTTTTTATTTTTTTTGGAGTCGGGGTCTCACCCTGTTGCTCAGGCTGGAGTGCAGTGGCAGAATCATGGCTCACCACAGCCTTGACCTCCTGGGCTTAGGCGATCCTCTGCCTCAGCCTCCCTAGTAGCTAGGACAACAGGTGCCACCATGCCTGGCTAATTAAAAAAAAGTTTTTTTTTTAGAGATGAGGGCTTGCTATATTCCCAAGCTGGTCTTGAACTTTTGGCCTCAAGCAATCTTCCCGCCTTGGCCTCCCTGAGTGCTGGGAATACAGGTGTGAGCCACCACACCTGGCCAAAATAATGCTTTGAATTCTTTACCATGGGGTAAAATGAAGGCTCCAGGAGGGTGCTGGAGCTGAACCCCGAATCCCAAGTGGATCTTTGAGGATCCCAGGGCCTCGCACAGTACAGTGTGAGGGATACTGGGCCAGAGTCTTTATACAAAGAGGGCCCCCTAACTTGCTGGAGGGCTGGCTTGATGCATTCTTTGCAAAGTGACATACTTTGGCCATTGGTCCTCAGCGTGGTGACAGGCTGTGGCCCAGAGGGACTCAGAGAAATAAACAGGCTTCCAAGACTGCTGCTTCTGGGAGGGCTGGTTCTGAGGCCTGGCAGGTAGAGGCCAGAGGCGTGGATTAGATGCTGCCTGCCAGTCTGTCTGGTCTAGTCAGTATGGGGATACCTCAGTGCCCTGTCTTCCCGGTCTCCTTTAGTAGGCAGGTGCTCGGCTGGGTCCTGGGGGAACCAGATAGACAGTCTGCTGCCGTGGTGCATGGGGCCAAGTGTGATTACAGGCAGCAGGGATGCCATGCCCAAGGTGTGAGGAGACTTAGCCCAGGGACTGTCAAGAGCATGGTTGGGGCCTGGCCCAGGGTAGCAGAGGGGGGCGGGGAAGAGATCTGGGAAGTCACATTGGAGTTGAGATCTAAGTAGTGTGCACACAAGTCAGGGGAAATCTTGTTCTTTTTTTCCCCCCCAGAGACAGGGTCTTGCTCTGTCACCCAACCTGGAGTGCAGAGGTGTGATCATAGTTCACAGCAGCCTTAGACGCCAGGGCTCAAGTGATTCTCTGGCCTTGGTTTCCCAAAGTGTTAGGATTACAGCCATGAGCCGGCATGAGCCACCATGCCTGGCTGCCAGGGGATCTTGTTCAAATGCAGACTGATTCTGCAGTTCTTTCTTTTTCTTTTTATAGCGGTGGGCTCTTACTTTGTTGCCCAGGCTGGTCTCGAACTCCTAGGCTCAAGCAATCCTCTTGCCTCGGCCTACCCAGTAGCTGGGATTACAGGCATGTGCCACTGAGATTCTGCACCTCTAACAAGCCCTGAGTGCTGAAGGTGCTACTGGTCCCAGGCCTGCACTTTGGGTAGCAAGGCCCTAGCACTGTCCAATCTGGTGACTACGAGCCATCTGTAACAAATTTTTTTCTTTTTTGGAGTCTCACTCCGTCACCTAGGCTGGAGTACAGTGGCACAGTCACGGCCACCCCAGCATCGACTTGCTGGGCTTCGGCGATCCTTCCACCTCAGCCTTCCAAGTAGTTGGAACTACAGGCACGTGCAACCACACCTGGCTAATTTTTTGACTTATTGTAGAGACAAGGCCTCCCCAAGTGGCCCAGGCTGGTCTCAAACCCATGAGCTCAGGCAATCCTCTCCCCTCACCCTCCCAAAGTGCTGGGAGGTGTGAGCCATCGTGCCTGGCCCACATGTACCAATTTAACTGAACAAGTGGAATGACATAAAATGAACAATTCAGTTCCTCAATCACACTGGCCACATTTTGAATGCTCAACACCCCCACGTGGCCAGCGGCTGCTGTTGGACACCATAGTATAGAACAGGATGGCCATCACAGAAGGTTCTGGTGGACCGTGCTGCTCTGAAGTGTGGAGGAGTGAGCTGAGACAGCTGGGGGAGGAGGGAAGGCACTTCCGCAGCAGGCTCAGCTCAGGCGATGGCGCAGGAGCTGGAAAGAGGCCCTTGTGATTTGAGTGCAGAAGGCGAGGGGGTGGGTGAGCGGAGACTTCCTAGCTGTGGGGGCCTTCCAGGTTAGGCTGGGGACCCAGGACAGGGAAGCCCCCGCGCAGCGAGTGCGTTGAGAGATGGAGATGGCGCTTCCTTTGTCATCATTGCGTCATTTGCTTCTCCCTGAGCACTTGGCTGGGGGCTGTCACCAGCCGGTGGAGCAGCCCTGAGGCCTCATTTGCAACAGCTTTTCCACCTGTGTGTGGCACCGGGCCATGGGGTTGCGACAGGGTAACGCTGCGCCCTTCCTCCCTAGGGGCTCCATGTCCAGCCTGGAATCCTGCACCAGTGGCTTCTCCCAGCTCAGCACCACCACCTCCTCCTCCTCCTCCTCCTCCGGCCAGTCCCACAGCAGCTCCCTGGTCTCCAGATAGCCCGGCCGAGCGTTTCAGGGCAACCCGCTGGCTTCCTGCGTCCGGACGTGGCCGGGATGAGAAGCCAACTCCCGCGAAGCCTGGGTCCCTGGCGTCTGGGGCGGATGGCAAGGCTCCAGCCGTGGCTGTGCGCAGCCTAGGGGATCTGTAGGTTACAAGGCAGAACCATCTCCGTCGGGCGTCGAGTAAGGAAGGCCAAGGCCGAGGTGTCTTCACTCTGTCACCCTCAGGGCTCCAGGGAAGGGGGCCCAGCCCCGCTCCCCCCCTCTCTCTGCCTTCCGCACGGCAGGGGACGCATCACGTTCTGTGCACGCCCCTGGCCCCGGCTTGGCTACATAAGGGAGCCTCTTCCTCCCCAAAGATCCAATCCGCACGCCAGAAGTGAGTCTTATCAGCCGAGGGGCGCGCCAAGTCAATTTCTGAACCAATCCCAGTTGCCAGGGGGGCTGAAGAGTACTGATTGGTCAGCAGGATCATGTGTCCAGCCTGGACCAATCACTGCGCCCCAGGGGTGGGGCGTGGTGGAGTGATTGGCCAGCTAGAGGCTCTGTTGTCTCTGGCACGGTCCCTGGGCCAAGGGGTTGGGTTTACAGAAATCGTCACCTTTAAGCTCTGCATGCTGGAGCGGGGAGAGCGAGGACTTAACTTCCATTCCAGTCTCAACCCTGAAGCCAGAGCGGGGAATGGGCCATGCTTTCAGAGACAGCGCTCCCCACGGGAGAGAGCCTGGTCCGCCTTCCGGTGATTCTCTGCTCCTCAGGTATAAGAACAAAATACGCATTATAACTTTGCAACTTGCATCAAGGTGTCTGTGCGTGGGCGAGAGAGGTCGATTGCAGGGAGACGTTCCCAAAGTTAAGTGCTCCCGTGTCACCAGGCATTTTTCGCTGAGAGCAATTTGCAGTATTTTCAGTGACCTTTAAATGAATTTCTAGCTTGTCTTTAAAAACTAGATGTTACTCTAGAAGTATTTTTGGATAAGTTGCCCCGGAGGTCTGCACATTTATTATCTAGGTCCAGAAAAGGCCAGGGGAGCTTTCACCGACGGAGACTGCAGCTGCCGATCCCAGAGAGGAGGGTCTGCCGTCAACTGTCCAGCCTTAACAGCAGGGGACAGAGCCTCAGGCCTTCTTGGTTCTCCTCTTGAGCATGCGCTCTTCTTCAGGACAAACCAACTCAAACTGGTTTAAGCAGCAAAGGGAATTCCTTGGGTCCTGTATTTGGGACAGTTGAGAGTGGGTCTGGAAAGCTTCAGGTATGGCTGGATCCAGGAGCCCAGAGTCCTCGGGCCTCTTAACTGCACCCAGGCCTCTTGTCTCTACTCTTTCCACGCTGGCTTTTAAGTTTCCCCAGAGCCGGAGGCTGGAAGCTCCTTGCCCTTGGCTTCTTGCCTGGCGTGTTTATTAATCCCTGTGGCTGGACCGGAAGCAACCTGTGGGCAGCACGATCCCTGGTGTCTGGGTGCCTGGGTCTTAAATGTAGACCGGGGTTCAAACCCAACTTTCCCTTCTGTAGCTGTGTAACCTTAAGCAGGTGTCTTAACCTTTCTGTGCCTCAGTTTCCTTATCTGTCAAGTGGGGAAGCGGTGCCTACCTCTTTGTGTTGTAGTGGAATGAGATGAGAGGATGGCTATAAGGTTCTCAGCACAGCTCCCGGCACACAGAAAGTGCTCCAAAAATGTCAGCAGTAATTACAATGATCTAATCCTCTTCATCCAAAGATTCCTGGCTCCTTCCTGAACATCCGTCACTGCTTTTCATGAGTGTGTACACAGAAAACAATGAGATGCAGAGAAACGATTTCCCTCTGAGCTATGTGCAGTCAGACCTTTTCTTTTAGAAACTTTGTTTTCTGGGCCAATCCAGGAATCTGAAAGAGTGTGTTCTAAGTGGTATTTTCCTTGGCAGTCTGAGAATGTTTTCTCCAGAGGTGACCGTAAGGGGAGTGTGAGATTTATTTTTATTTTATTTAATTTTATTTTATTTATTTATTTTTTTGAGTTGGAGTCTCACTCTGTCGCCCAGACTGGAGTGCAGTGGCCGCTCCCGGCCACCGCAACCTCGACCTGCTGGGCTCTGGCGATCCTTCCGCCTCAGCCTTCCAAGTAGCCGGAATTACAGGCGTGTGCTATCGTGCCCAGCTGATTTTTTGATTTATTGTAGAGATGAGGTCTCGCTGCCCAGGCGGGTCTCGAACCCGCGGGCTCAGGCAATCCACTCACCTCAGCCTCCCAAAGGCGCGGGATTACAGGCTGAGCCACCAAGCCCGGCTTTTATTTTATTTTTTAAGTAGGATCTCACTCTGTAGCCCAGGCTGGAGTGCAGGGCACTATCAGAGCTCACCGCAGCCTCCACCTCCTGGGCTCAGGCGATCCTTCTGCCTCAGCCTTCCGAGTAGCTGAGACCACAGGCACACGCCACCACGCCCAGCTAATTTTATTTATTTATTTATTTTTATAGAGACAAAGTCTCACTATGTTGTTCAGGCTGGTCTCGAACTCCTGGGCTCAAGTGATTCTCCCACCTTGGCTTCCCAAAGTGTTGGGATTACAAGCGTGAGCGACTGCACATGGCTGAGATGTTTTTTGTGATCCTACCCTACACTCTCTGGAATTTCTCCTCCCCCGTGTAAAATTACTTGTTCAGTGAGAATAGTGTAATTCTTTTCAGCAAAGTCTGTTTCAGCCTGTGAAACATTTTCTTGTTTGCCTGGTCATTTGCTCCAACTGGAAGCATGAAATGTGTTCAGTGTGCATATACCCCAGTTGTTAACTTCCTGAATAGGAGATTTCTCCGAGACTTGCTCAAGAACGTTCCAGCTGTTGTTTTTAAGACTCCAGAGCTTTGTCAACAGGTGTGACAACACCCTCAAGATGTTGCAAATTGGCTTTTGGGGAGGGTGGAAGGGAGGCTCACGTTTCTTATGTAGAAAGCACAAATATACAGTGCTCATGTCCTAGGGTCGCTGTGACCAATGACCACAAACCTGGTGGTCTTCTGTAAGGCCGGAGGTACCGGAGGGCGGGGCAGGCCTCGCCTCAACAAGATGGCTCCAACCCATACCAGGCCGGAACTAAGACCCCAGCCGCAAAGCCAGCCAGTACCTGTTACAGCGATTCTAGCAACCCTGTTCAGCCAATCGCCAGCAGACACGACAGCTGTCCCAATCAATGATCACTCTCCCCAATCCCCCTCACAGCTTTCTCAGCGTGCCCTTTATAAACCCATTGCCCATCTTGCTGGGCACGACTTCTCCGGCCCACAGCTATATGGACCGGAGAACCTCACCCAGGATTGCGCTAATAAATTTTTCTTGGCTCCTTTGTTGCCGTTTTGCCTGGTCTGGTTTCGTTTACCTTACAGCTTCAAACAACAGACATTTATTCATTAAACGTTCTGGGACCAGAAGGCTGGAATTAGACTCCGGGGGAGACTCCTTTGCCTCTTCCGGTTCCTGGTGGCTCCAGGCACCCCTTACATCACGGCGACCCTCCGTGTGGCTCATCTTCTTATAAGGACACCATTGGGTTTAGGGCCCACCCTAAGTCCAGCTGATGCGGATTTTTCAGGTCAGCCTGGGCTTCAAGAGCGTCAGCCCAATGGGTCAGCCAACCAAGCCACAGAAAGAGTCGTGGAGGGGCTGGTAAGCCTAGCCCCACAAGTGTCAGCTCTAACGGGCTGGCCAGCCAAGCCCTGAGTGTTGCAACTGGGAGGGGTGCTGGCCTAGCCCCCAGTTGTTGGCGCTAACAGGCTGGCAAGCCTAGCCCTCTGGGGTGCATGGCTTTTCGACTCTGATGATCTTCTGCAGCTCTTCAGGGTCGAGGTCCTTGTCTCATGCCCAGGAAGAATGAGGGACATGCACAGCCGGAAGGTGAGAAAGCAGGATTTATTGAGGACAGAAAAGCTCCCACAGCAGGAGGGGGTCCGAAGTGGTTGTCTATCTGGGATCAAAAACCTGGTGCTTATATAACCCTAAGTCCAAGCTGATTGGCTAGCACTAGCTGTGAGCTATTGCTGTTCTGATTGGTTGCTTTTCAATCCCAGCAGTGAGGACTTTAGCTCTAGCTTGAGAGGTTTACAGGGAGCTTGTTTACCAATGCTGAGATGAGAGGCCTGCCAGGTGATCACTACATTGTTACCAGAGGACTCGCCTGTCTGTCTGCTTAGCCTTTTTTTTTTTTTTTTTGAGTTGGAGTCTCACTCTGTCACCCAGACTGGAGGCAGTGGCCGCTCCCGGCCACCGCAGCCTCGACCTGCTGGGCTCCAGTGATCCTTCTGCCTCAGCCTTCCAAGTAGCTGGAACTACAGGCACGCGCTACCATGCCTGGCTAGTGTTTTATTTATTGTCGAGATGAGGTCTCGCCAAGTAGCCCAGGTGGGTCTTGAACTTGTGGGCTCAGGCAATCCACTCACTAGCCTTTTTCTAGCTATCTCTTGTCTAACAATGTAATCGTCTTGAGCTCCCTAATGACATCTGCAATGTCCTTGTTTCCAGATGAGGCCACATTCTAAGGCTCTCTATGGACATGAGTTTTAGGGGATACTATAAACACGTCACACGTGAAATCATACATAAACAGATGAGCAGCTTCTCAGCAGTGCTACCATGCAGATACCCAGGGGCTGCTCAGGACTACTGAGATTCCACCTGCCAGGTATCCAGGTACTGCCCTGCCCCCGGGGTTTTACTGAAGTGCCAGACCTGGTGTCCTGGAGCACTGCATCTCAGGATGGCCACGGTTCTGATGTCAGAGGGGTGTGAGGTGCCCTGTCCCTGGCACTGCCTGTCCTTCCTGAGAGCTCTCTTGGAGCATGGAGAAGGGGCTGGCTGCCCTATGGGACTCTGAAAAAGCTTCTGGTCTTGGTCTGGCAGCCAGGGGCTGTCACCTGGGAGAGCAGGGCAGGTGTGGTTCCTTTGTGTAGTGGCTCAAGGGTCACCTGTCCACCCAGCTTCTGTCACTCAGCCCTACCTGCCACAGCTCTTGGGGTTGGGTTAACTGCCCGCACCTGCCCGGTACAGGGCATGCCTCCAGTCCCAGGATCTTCCATGGATTTATCTGGAACTGTGGGCAGCGGGATTAAAGGAACAGCCAGCCGCTGCGGGGGTGTGGGGGTGTTGAGGAAGAACAGCCCATGGAGAAGGCAGAGCTCCCAAGCGTGGGCGGGAGCTGGGATCAGCTCTGAGCTGCCGGTCCCGCTGACGTCTGTCGAGCCTCAGTGCCTCCCAGAGGCCTCCTGGGGCCTGGGCCAGAGCAGGCAAAGCACACCCAGGGCTCCCTGAGGCCCAGAGGCTGCCCTGGGACCAGTTCTTCCTCGGGGCACAGGCCACTGGAACCCCTGCAGAGGCGGGAGCTGGGGAGGCCCGGAGCAAGGAGCTGGGACTTCCTGGGATGTCGGGGCAGATGTGGCTGCCAGGATTCCCCACCTTCACTCGCTCCCCACCTTTCTTCAGTGCCCAACCCCACCGAGGCATTTTGGAGGAATGTGGGTTTCCCAAATCACAATTTGGAACCTCTGACCTAGTTTTTTGGAGCCAAGATGTTTTTGGAGACACGGACTTTTTGGAGAGTCCGATGAGAGCTGCAGACACACGCACTTTAATTTAGTTTCTGTTTTCAGCCCCCAAGGAACCCTTGAAAGCCCACCCATGGGCCCTGGGACCCCCACCTTGCTGGTGTCTTCCCCAGAACACGGTTCTGTGCCGAGGACCCCAGCTGAAATGTGTCACTGTGGCCACTGCCCAGCACACGGAGTTGTCAGGGTCCACATACTCCATGTCTCGGGGTCCTCAGTCCCAGCCGAGTTGGGGATGGGATCCCTGCACTGCCATGACTGTCCACATTGGTCCCTGACCCACACATCTGCGGCTTGATGACCTTAGCTGTGGTAGATTTGTGTCACGTGTCCTCACTACCACTAGTGGTAGGTATTGGAAGCTGAGACACTTCTGCCTGCTGCTTGTCCCACCTACACTCTGTGGTACAAAATCCAAATGCCTGCACCCCTAAATTATGAGCATCACACTCTTTGGGTTGCCAGAGACCCCCCAAAAGCCAACACAAACTGCCTCAAGCAAAAATGGGAATTCATTGGTTCGTGTAATTGCGAAGTCTAAAGATGACTGCCTTCAGGTATTTTGGATCCAGGGGCTTGAGTCATGCCCTCTCTTTCTCTTGCTCCGAGTCTGGTCCTCTTCCACCCTGGCTTGCACTCTCCATCTTGTGGTTCAGGTCAGGTCTCTACCACATTGCAGAGGAGTTGGTTAAACACTCCTGCAAGTGGCCCACTCCCTGGAGGCTGGTCCATCCCAGCAGAGAGCTTCTTCCTCCAATTCCAGCAGAAGTTCCAGGATGGGCTCTGACTGGCTGTCCTGGAACAGATGCTGATCTCTGAGCCAATCTCTGAGGCCCACCTAGAACTTGGGGGGAGACAGTGCTGGCCAGACCACCTGGGTGGAGAATGGGGGAGAAGCAGTGCCCTGAGGACAACACGACAGGCTCAAGGTCAGGGCTCCCGGTGCCCTGCTACCTCTCTTGGGTGCTCTCCTTGCCTGGAGGAAGTCACGAAGGCTTGCAGCTTTCTGATGGCTGCCTCTGGCTGCCGGGCACACTTGGGCCCTGTGTAGGGCATATGGGAGGTGCCAGGGATTTAACCCCCAACGGATGCTGAAGGGGCATTGGCTGATAAACACCCCAGCGTCCTTGCCCACCAGTGGGACAGCTAAGGCCTGTCCAATGGTCTCTCTCAGAGACTGAAGCCCCAGTGGGATAGAACCCCCACTGCCTACGGTATCAACCTGCTCATGAAATGTACACTGTGCAGGGTGTCCTCCCCCTCCCCCCGTAACCTGGCTGTGCTTCCTGGGTCACCTTCCAAGTCAATGCCTGTTCTCATATCCTTGCCCCAGGCTCTGCTTCTGGGGGGCCCAACCTAAGACAGGGCTGGTACTAGAAGAGAGTGTCGGTCCCTTTTGTGCTGCTGTAAAGGAAGGCCTGTGGTTGGGTGATTTAGAAAGAAGTTTATTTGGCTCACGATTCCGCATGGCACTGGCATCTGTTTCTGGTAAGGCCTCGGGAAGCTATAATCATGGTGGAAGGTGGAGAGGCAGCAGGTGTGTCACAGGGTGAGAGAGAAAGCAAGAGAGGGAGGAGGAGCTCGGCCCTTTCAAACAACCAACTCTTTTTTTTTTTTGAGTTGGTGACTCACTCTGTCACCCAGGCTGGAGTGCAGTGGCACAATCACAGCTCGCCGCCGACTCAGCCTCCTGGGCTTAGGCAATCCTTCCATCTCAGCCTCCTGAGTAGCTGGGACTACGGGAGCATGCCACCACACCCAGCTAATTTCTTTTTGCTTTTTTGTAGAGGCGAGGTCTCACTATGTTGCCCAGGCTGACCTCAAACTCCTGGCCTCAAGCAATCTTCTCACCTTGACTTCCTAAAGTGCTGGGATTATAAATGTGGCCACACCAGCTCTTGAGTGAACAAATAGTGAGAACTCACTCATGACCCCAAGAGTGGCACCAAGCCATCCATGAGGTATCCACCCCATGACCCAGTCGCCTTCCACCAGGCCCCATCTTCAACACTGGGGACATTTCAACATGAGGTTTGGAGGGGACAACAACATCCAATCTATATCAAAGAGGGACTGGATGCGGGGCAGGCAAAGATGGTAGAAAGGTGACGACAAATTAAAGAGAAATCCCAGGGGCCACAGGGGAGATCTCATAATGCCTAGTGTTCAAGTCACTTCACCTGGGACCCTCTAGCATGCCACAATGGACCCTCTTTGGGTACTGCTGTACTCCCTGTGGGCCCAGGTTCCACTAAGCCAGTTTACAGTACTGTCACTGTTCCAACTTAGCTGCCAGCACAGCAGGTGACACACAGAGGTGTCCCCCCCCCCGACATCATGGCTTTCAGGCCAAGCATCATCTAGGGCAGTTGTCACTGGGGCCTCAGCCTCAGACCCCTGGGGATGCTTCCTGTAGACTCCAAGATCCTCTCCCCACCCCAAGATTCCTGTTCAGTGGGTCTGGGCAGCATCCAGAGTCTGCAGCTGTAGGATGTTCCCAGGGAATACACCCTGACCTGAAGCCAGGCTTGGGAACTGCTCTCAGGAATACGCCTAAGGGACCCCAAGGTGCCTGGCTCCACAGCTGAAGCATCAGAGCCCGTTTCTCCTTCCCTCGAGTCTGGGCTGGCCTGGTGACTTGCTGTATCTGATGGAACATGGTAGAAGTGGAGTCACACTGAAACCTTGCACGCTTCTCTCTCAGGAACCCTGCCTCCTCCATCTTGGCCCTAAGCCTGAGCTAGCCTTCTAGAGGACGCCTGAGCTAGCCTTCTAGAGGACGAGACACCAGGTGGAGCCGGGCCACTGCAGCAGCGGTTGCCACTCCAGCCCAGCTGAAACCACAGATCCTAGCCCAGGTTGACAGGATGACCAGTTGACTCTAGAATCATGAGACACAATGGCTGCTTGATTTAAGCCACTTTTGGGGGTGACTGTTAGGCAGCAATAGCTAACTAATACAGTGATACCACGGTCGAGGAGTATGGGTCTATTTGAGGACCCACTGAAAGCTGCAGCCCCTCCCCCCTCTACTCGTCCTCCAAAAGCTGCTAAGGGCAGTGACATAAATATTCATGGGGACCTTACAGGCACTTCCTGGAGACCCTTCACGGGCCATTGACCTTCTGGGCTCAGGAGGGACAAACTGACAGAGCTAGGCAAGTCACATTTCAAGAGAATCCGCCACTGGGGCTGTGACAATATTGCTGCCTTGTGTGAGTGTCCACCAGGGCTGCCGAATCTCTCACCTGTAAAGAGAAACCAGGCCGGGTGTGGTGGTTCATGCCTGTAATCCTAGGACTTTGGGAGGCTGAGACGAGGGGATTGCCTGAGCCCAGGGGTTCAAGACCAGCCTGGGTAACTTGGAGAGACCTTGTCTCTACAATAAAAAAATTAGCCGGGTGTGGTAGTGCACATAGTTCCAGCAATTTGGAAGGCTGAGGCAGAAGGACTGCATAAGCCCAGGTCGAGGCTGCTGTAGCCATGAGCGTTCACAGCCCTCCAGCCTGGGGTAACAGAGTAAGACATTGGACTCAAAAAAACAAAACAAAACAAAAACCCAGGCCTCTGATGACTTGCGTGCATGACTTTGAGAAGCACTGGATTAAGCAGATACTCAGGGAGCTGGACTTGGCTCTGGGCTACCTGCTGTGATCTGTCTCAGGTTAAGCTCCATGTGTTAAGACCTAGGAGTGCCCCTGAGTCCCCGATTCAGAGTTCAGACCCCACCTGGTGGCTCCTTTTACTATATCAATTTATTCAAGTGATAGAAAAATCTCTTGGCAGCAGGATGACAGAACAGGTCTGTAAACATGATCACCCCCATCCCTTCTTCTAAGGAGCTTCCTACCACAGGAAGTTGAATTCTAGCTGGCAAATCCAGTGACAAGGTCTGCAGAGAAAGGGTCCCCTGAGCTAGGAAGGCAGAGACCATCCCTTTAGCCCACCCGGTCTGGGGGGTTGCTGGCCGAGCTCTGTCACTTCGCTATGATTTGGTCACTGAGCTCGGTTCCCCAGCAGCCCCTTCCCCGGGGGGTGGGAGACTCTTTGGCAGCAGCGCAGGCCTCCCAGGGCCCAGGCCTCTGGAGCAGCAGACACAGGCAGGCGAGGAGGCGGCCTCTCTCCAGGGAACGCCGTATTGCTGGGCTGCAGGGGCCGAGGCACAGGTGCAGTAGAAGGTTGGCTGCAGTGCTGGGGTTGCTCAGGCGATCCTGGCCAGCAACCGTGGAACTTCCCCTGCAGAAGCCAGACAAGCCTTTGGGACAGGTCACTCAACAGATTCAGTCCTTGAAGGGGTTGTGGGCGCCCCCGGGCTGCTCCTTCTCAGCAGCCGGGACCTCCGAGTTCAGCTCCTGCAGCGGGTGGTACGCGTAGTCCCCATCCAGGTGCCGGTTCCTCTCCACTCTGGAGAGGAGCAGGGACAGGTTTGCCGCGGTGCTGATGAGCAGGAGGAAGACCAGGGCCAGGGTCAGGGCCAGCCAGGTGGTCCTGTGGGCAGAAGAGATGCCCTGAGTGGGGGCTGCTAGATGAGCACTGGAGAGGCTCCCCCTCTCCACTCAGAACAGGTGGCACTAAGTCAGGTACTACATAGGGAATGTTATGGACAAAACAGGTCATGTGCAGAGGACACCAGGGACAGTCCCAACGCAGGCCAGTGCTGTCACAATTCCTGATATTTCAAGAGTGCCTACTTTTTCTTGTATGTTACTGATTTTCAGATTTTTTTAAAGAGACCGGGCCCAGGCTAGAGTACAGTCGTGTGATCATAGCTCACTGCAGCTTCCAACATCTGGGCTCAGCCATCCTCCAACCTCAGCCTCCTGAGTAGCTGGGACTGTAAGAGCATGCCACCATACCCAGCTAATTTAAAAAAGTTTTAAAAACAGTGTAGGCAGAATAAAACCCAGCTGGGGACCTCATTGGGCCTGAAAGGATCTGTTTGCCTCCTGAGCTCCAGGGGAAGCTGACCTCAGAGACTGGGTGCTCAGAGGCTCTGGGCTGTGCTCCAGGGTCCCTAAAGCAGACAGAGTAGGGGGAAGCAGTCCCCCTTCCTCCAAGACAGGGAGTTGGCAGGGGACAAGGACAGGGTATTTATTTCTTACATATGAATGAATCTTGGGCAGAAGTCCCTAATGCAGAAGCAGCCACACACACGATGCCCAGGGGCTGGGCCACTGCCAGGCCCCATCGGCTCTCCTCCCAGCTGACCGCTGCGATGGGTCCAGGTCTGCAGGGCAGGGGGACTCTAAGCCTCACACCCATGGAGCCTGGATGTAAGGCCCGGGGCATGTGGCTCAGGGGATTCTGACAGTCTCCACCTGATGCGTTTTCACGTTGGGTGCTCCAGGGCATCCGCTCCAGGCCTGGTCCTGAGCCTGCAGAGCTTTACACGGTGTACCTGGCCAGGAGCTCCAGGAGGGAAGGGGGTCTACAGATTTGAGAGATCCCAGTGCCCTCTCCAGGGCCTAGAAGCTTTCCATTTACACCCCACCTAGTTTCTACTTCCAGAGTCTGGGACTGGGCTGTCAGAGGTGAGAGCCACCAGAACAAGGCTTCTCAAAGTGGAATCCTGGCCAGCAGCATCAGCTTCAACTGGGATGGTGCTGAAAATGCAGATTCTCGGGCTCCACCCCAAACCTATGCAGGCAGAGTATTACTCTATTGCCCAGGATGGAGTGCAGTGGCACAATCACAGCTCACTGTAGCCTCAACCCCCAAGGCTCAGGTGATCCTCTTGCCTCAGCCTCCTGAATTACTGGGACTATAGGTACACACCACCATGCACGGCTAATTTTTTGTGTTTGGTAGACAGGATCTTGTTATGTTGCTTAGGCTAGTCTTGAACTCCTGGGCTCAAGCAATCCTCTGGCCTTGGCCTCCCACAGTGCTGGGATTATGGTTATAAGCCATTGTGCCCAGCCAGAAATCTCTTAATAAGTTCTCATAGTGATCAAGTTTGTGGCCCGCCACACTGGAAAATAGGAAGAAAATTACCAACACGAGGTCTGAGCACACAAGGGGCCTGAGCAGTGATGCAAGCGCCCCAGATCTCTATGCCTCTGCTCTAGGAGCTGAGGAAATTACTCATGAGCCTTCAAGGACTTCCCCGACCCTCCTGGCTGGTAGCCCGAGGCCCTTCTCACCATCCCCCTGAACTGTCAGGTGGCTGCCAGCATCAGCTGTGACTCTCCCCATGCTTATACGAGAGAAACGTCACCTGGGGGACCATACGCCACTTCCTAGCCTCACTCAGTCCCAGGCAGAGACCTGGCCTCGCAGGAAGGGGAGATTCCTCCTACCCTAGCCCCAGGCTCCCACAGAAGCACTCACCCGGTGAAAAAGGAGAGTTCACCCGTCCTCAGGGTGGCCTCGGATGGCTGGAGACATAGCTTCACTGTAAGACACCAGGGAGAGGCTGAAGGGGCTGGAGAGGGAAGGTCTGCCCTCACCTGCGGGGTCCCAGGAGGAGCCTGTACCTCCAGAGATGCTGCAGTTGCCTGTCTGGGGGTCGCAGGGACACTGGTGCTCACACTCACAAGGCCTCTGGCAGCCTGGCCTGTGCCAGCCAAGGGCACACTCTGTGGGGGAGAGCAGGAGGACGGAAGTCAAGGCCTCTGGTGTTCGAGGCTTTCTGGGTATGACGGGATGGCCCTCAGGCGTGTGCAGAGCTGGGCTGAAGGGGAAGGCCCCGGCTGCCCCAGGCAGCCCCTGATGTGACAGTTTTAGGAAGCAGGGCCCTGGCAGGTGCCCCTAAGTTGGGACCTTGAGATGGGGTCAGCCTGGACTTGAGACAGGCCCTGGAGCCAAGGCTTGGTCCTTGTAAGGGAATGGAGGGGGTCTGGACACAAAAAGGCATGAGGCTGTGGGGTGATGGGGCAGAGATGGGGGACACAGCCCCAAACCAAGCAGCTGGGAGCCATGGAGAGCTGGCAGGGGCAAGGTCAGATCCTCCCGCAGAGCTGCTGAAGGGGGCGTGGCCACCAATGTCTGGACTGTTGGCATGTGGCCTCCAGAACATGAGAGGACACATTCTGCTGTTCAGCGGCCCGGTCTGTGGGACCTGCTGCAGCAGCCAGAGGCCAGCAAGCTCCAAGGCAGTGGGGAGTTGGGACTGCTGGGACCACCCTCCCCCCATCTGCCGGGGCGGAGAAGGGGACCTGGCGGTTGGTACCTTCGCTGCAGTTGGGCCCGGTCCATCCTGCATCGCAGTGGCACCCAGCTGCCGGGATGAGACAAAAGAGCCCAGGTGAGGTCCAGGCAAGACGGGGCCCAGCAAGAGCCACCTCCCTGAAGCCCCCACTCACTTTCCATGCACAGTCCATGGTGGCTGCAGTTGGCGGGGCCGCAGTCCAGCTCACCGCAGCCGGGGCCGGTGAAGCTCCCGGTGCAGTGGCAGCGCCCCTCCACACAGGTGCCGTGGCCGTGGCAGTCAGGCGGCTGGCAGCGGGGCTCATGCACACACACTACGGTGGTCACACGGCGGGGACAGCGCCACATGTTGTCCTGGCTGCAAGGGATGCAGTGTGTGAGGAGAAACCACCCCAGCCGGCTCCTCAACCCCTCCTGCAGTCCATGGGGGCTGTCCCTCCCCACCTCTCTCCCCTCTCACTTCTCTGGCCTCTCAAGGATTCTTTTGCTTCCTACAATCCCTTTCATCCCAGGGCTTTTGCACATGCAGTGTCCTCACCACAGACAGCTCTCCACCCTGCCTTGCTGCCTCACCCTTCAGATCTCAGGTCTCATGCCACTATCCCCAGGGAGATCTTTCCTGACCAACTGACCATGTCCCTGGGCTGGGGATACGAGGGAGGGAGGGGCTGTGGCGCTTTCTGTTCATTTCTTTTTTGAGTCAGAGTCTCACTCTGTCACCCAGGCTGGAGTGCAGTGGCATGCTCACAGCCACCACAGTCTTGACCTGCTGGGCTCAGGTGACCCCTCCACCTCAGCCTTTCAAGTAGCTGGAACCACAGGCGCACATCACCACGCCAGACTAATTTTTTGATTTACTGTAGAGACGAGGTCTCGCCAAGTTGACCAGGCTGGTCTTGAACCCTTGGACTCAGGCAATCCTCTCGCCTCCACCTCCCAAAGTGCTGGGATTACAGCTATGAGCCAATCCGCCTGGTTCTGCTCACTCTTGAACCCCTAGGGCTTGGCACACAATAGGCACTCAATACTGGCTGAACGAGACGGGCAGGGCAGGCGTGGACTTTGGCCTTGTGAGGGAAGGCCTGACAAGCTCACCAGTGGTCTGACGGGTAGCTGGCCAAGGTCCCGTTGTGCACGAAGGTGGCAGAGCCACCCCCATCCAGGTTGATGGCATTGACGACGTCCTGTTTCAGCAGGAACTCCGCCATCTCCCATAGATTGATGCTGTGGCACGACAGGGGTGTCGCTCAGTGCCTGCCATGGCTCCTAGTTGGACTCATCTTACCACCAACAGTGGATGACACCATGTCCACGGAGGCAGGTACATTGCTAAGTGGCCCCCCAAAGATGTCCTGTCCCGATCTCTGGAAACTGTGACCATCTGAGATCTTGCCCGTGACTGTGTTGTCATATGGCACCTGCGTCCTTACGGGAGGAAAGCTGGCCTGGGTTATCTGGGCAGGGCCCCAGGAGCCTCGAAGGCAGAGCTTCGGCTGAGGTCGAGGACAAGTGGGGGCATGGGAGGGACCCAACACCCCTTTAAGGTTTGAGGGCTGGAGGAGGGGACACATGTAGAAAGAGACAAAGACCTCAGGCTCACGGCCCAGAGGCACCGGGCTCTGCCAACAGCTGGAGTGAGCTTGGGAGAAGTTCCCTTCTCATGCTCCAGGCATATGCCTGACCCACATCTTTTGTCCGTGGGATGTCCTGGGCACAGGACACTCCCAGTCAAGTGCTCCGAATTTCTAAGCCACAGAGGGTGGCTTAGAACACAGGGATGTTGTGTGAAGCTAAGTTTGTGCTAATGAGTTATGCAGCCACAGCAAACAAATCCACTCTTTACAGAGGACAGATCTGTCGCTCAGAGAGGCTAAGTGACCTGATGTGGCACAGAGCCAGCGACGGCCAAGCAGGGACTGGAACCCAGATCTCTTCTCTGCTAACGCTGTGATCAGTCCTTGCATCCTCAACGGGCCCTGGAGAGATGAGGCCTAGCGCTGGGGCACTGAGGGAAGTGTGGGGAGGGTGATGAGTTCTTGAACATGGGAGAGACCTGGGGACCCTCTTCAAGTGGGAGGTGGGGCACAGATGGGTGTGAGGATCCCAGGAGCAGCTGGGGTCAGAAGGATGGCTGCCAGGGGTCTGCTGGACCCTTCAGCAGGACCAAGCTGGGTCCCAGCAGCCTCAGCTCCCAAGACTCACCCACGCTGCTCCGTCTGGCCATCTGCGTGGAAGAGCACCAGCTGTCCCTTCCGGTCATGACCCACGGCCGTCCTGGCTGATATCACGTTCACAAATTTGCTAAAGGAACCTGGAGAAGAGGCAGCCTGGCTAGTCACTGGCCCCTTGGGGTTTCCTGCCCCCACCTCCTACCTTCTCAGACACCAGCATCCCCCCTGGGGACGCACAGCAGCCTCCTCACTGATTTCATTGCCTCCCACTGCCCCGTTGGTCCCCACAGAGCCAGGGGCTCTTCTTACACATAAACCAAGAAACATCCACCTCCAGGTGAAAATCCTCTGATAGCTTTCCCTGTTCTTAGAACAAGATCCCAAAGCCCAGCAGGACCTCCTGGCCTTTTCTTCCTCCTGCCCCATCTCCAGGGACCCTCACCAGCCTGCAGCCACTTTCTGTTCCCTCTGACTGGGAACTGTCCTGCTCCCTAGCCCTTCCCATGACTTGTTCCTTCTAAGATCGCCGCCTCAGTGAGCCTTTCCTGCCCACTCAAAACCAGCCTGTGGGCCGGGCTCAGTGGCTCAGCCTGTAATCCCGTGCTTTGGGAGACCGAGATGAGTGGATTGCCTGAGCCCGCGGGTTTGAGACCTGCCTGGGCAACTTGGCGAGACCTCATCTCTACAATAAATCCAAAAAATTAGCC